AATTCACAGAATTTCATAAGAAATTCACTCACAATTCAATTTTGAGTGTAATATTATCATCGAAACACATAAACAATGCAATCGCGAGTTATATTTTATGCATTACTTGTGGTATTGATTGTATTGCAAGTAATTTATGCAAAACCAGACATTTCGGGTGACATTCCCGGGGCTGACAAATCAATTGGTGGCCAAATAGTTGGCAATGTAGTGAACCCCAGGGGAAATGGATGTAACGGACCATTGGATAGGAATGAAGCCGTTTGTGTCAAACACTGCACTGATATTGGCGTATGAATTGATTTTTTAACAAATGATATGAATTATCAAAAATTTATTTTTATTACATTTTGTAACATTATTATATTTTCTAGTTTTCCAAAGGGTTTTGTGACCTAACCTATGGTTGGTATCGATGCCATTGCTTGCCTTAAACATGGGTTGAAATGAATATTTTGAAACATACCGGTACTTTATATACAGAAATATAATATTTATGTATTTTCAGATTATGCATTTATTATGTAGTTTATAGAAAATATGTAACGTTTTAGTCGTTAGTTTAACAAATAAAATTTATTATAAACAAAGTCTGTTTTAATTTATGAAATATTAATTTGATTACTCTAATCATTCAAAATTAGAGTCTAATGACAAACTATCATATTCAGGTAAAGTGTCTCTATTAGTGTCTAAAATAAAATAATAATTTTTATTAACATTTTTGTGGACAATATACCGGTAAATATTTATTGCAAACACTTACGAATCAATTCTTTGCTCCGATACCTTATAACAAAATATAAAATAACGGTAAGTATGATACAAATAATGCATATCACGACAAATGCTTTCTTATGATTTTCAACCTCATCCGACAAATCGTTATCACTTTTATCATATAATTTAATCCTTGCCTGAGTCTTATAGGACATATTATAATTGGTTTTGAGATAAAAATTAAAATTAAAATGGCTTATGGGTAGAGAAAACTATGCTTTTGATATAGACTTCTAATAAACTGTTTATTTTAACTTTAAAATTTGTTAAATTGTATGTAATATTTTTAATAATATTGATGATAAATCTCGTGAATTAATAAACAAAATATGTGTCAATTTATTGCTAAATTGAAATCACCAATATAAGAAACAGTGCACAGAATGACAACAATTATAATTTGAATTTCAAATTTTGAAATCACTATAAATAATGAGATTTGTTTAGAAAACGAATTAAACAAAAGTCTAAGAGATAGACAGTAACTGACAGACAAGTGGTCACCAGAATAGAGGAGATGTCCAACGAATCCAAAGACAGTTCATCGGGCAGTTCAGCGCCCACTGAGAGTAGCACTGGTGCCACCCCTGGGGAACAGAATACCGGTGCAAATGCAGCACAACGGACACAACCGGTGGCACCGCAGACACCAGTGATGGCCAACGAACAGCCAGTGTTTCCGCCGCAGGATTTTTGGTTCGCTCCCCACATGACAGCTCCACCGGTAGACCCCTATAGAGAGCGAATCCGTGAGAATTGGCGCCGAAGAAGTCGAGAGTATCGCCGACGACAACGACTTCGACGACTCAGAAATCTTCGACGACTAGAGAGACTCCGAAGAGAGCGACAGAGAGGTCGGAGTGGAAGAGGAAGTCGTCAAAGAAGTCGTAGTAGAAGTAGAAGAAGGCTGCGGTGAACCAGTGTTTGCCATGGATTCAAGGCAACAGATTTACAAAGAGTTTTCCCCAGAAATACCTATTATTTCATGAATTATGAGATATTATTTCAGTAGAAATTAAACCAAATATTATTCATTGAAATTTGTGTCCATTTTTATTCAATTAAATTACATATAAAAGACAAAAATAAGTTATATTTTATGCTTTCATTTATTGGTAAAAATAGATTCAATTTCTATATCACTTGTCGTCTCTTTGTTTTTGAGAAATACTTTGAGTTTTTGTGGACCAAACCAATTGTGATATGAAGTGGTTTTGGTGCTCGACTTCAGTACAGATGTCTGCGGCGAACAGATGTGTCGGTTGTGAGATCTGGCGGTACTGTCGCTACCTTTGAGCCCGTTTTAGATGTGTTTGTCTGACTGGAGGGACTGGTGTTATGAGGGGCGCTGACAAGCATAGGAAATGTCTGCGGCGGACAGATGTGTCGGTTGTGAGATCTGGCGGTACTGTCGCTACCTTTGAGCCCGTTTTAGATGTGTTTGTCTGACTGGAGGGACTGGTGTTATGAGGGGCGCTGACAAGCATAGGACGCCCACACGATTTTGATGGCATACCCGTTGAGGTTGTCTTAGTACCAGTGCCCACTGACAATACTATTCCAACTGATCCCAAGTGACTCCAAGACATGTGATCATCACATATATAGCAAACAGACATTCATTTGGTTATATTTCTTCTGTTTTGTAAAAATAAAACTTTTGATTAAAATATGAAACAAATAGTCATTTCATTCACGCATTGAATTAGTGTTTAGTAATTGTCTTACAATTAGTACTCATTTGTGGAGAGATTTACTGAATTTTATTAGCTATGAAAGAGAGGTTTGTTTAGAAGTAGTCTTAACTTTTGGATGTCATTTGGATGTCATTTCCATTGTCTGACGTCTGGTTAAAGTTTACAGTAAACATCTAATCGCTTATCAAAAGTCTCGTGAATCTAGTGATCGGTTGATTTAAAAGCATACAATTATTGACAATAATTGTAAACAATAATTTATTGTTTAAATGAATAGAGTTAACGACAAAAAATGATTTACAGGTATAAACTTCTGACTGAATTGCAATAAAAGTGAATCAAAATGAGCAAAGATTTGACCAAAACTTTGCGAAAATATCGCTCAAAAACTGAACATTCATTAGAGGACGAGCTCTTCGTTAAAGAATTGCTTCAAATTCTTTACAATCGTTTGTCTATTTGTTTGTCCGATAATTGTCCCAAATTTGGGGCCATTTTTCTCAAACAAAGTGGTCTTCAATGTGACGATCGTTTGGCTTCCGATGAGTTCGAGAAATACAAGACTCAAAGAGTGTTGAAATACAGGCCACACCTCAAAGTCATCATTACTTGCCTAAGGGTTGTGTCCGAAGACTTGCAGAGAGTTTGGGCCGATGTTGAAGGAAATGATGACAAGACTATAGAGTTAGTGATAATGACATCAACCGATGGAAAGCGGAGACAGAAAACAGTCTTAAAATACAACGAATGGACACTAAAACCGAAAAATGAGTTACAAATCGACAGACAAGTGATTCACGCGATTAACAAAAACTTTAAGAAGTTGTTCATCAGTTTGTCGTTAACTCGCTATCAGACGAAATGCAAACAAATATTTCGCTATTTGTATGACTCGAGTAAAATCACTTCAACGTATCTATGCGTTGATAATATCTGCGAAATGCCATTAATTGGTGGACACGACTGGTATTCAATGGATTTCAATGCTAAGACTGGTCTCAAACAAAGTTTACTTAATGTGGAAATTGAGATGAGTTTTGAGTTCACCGATGAACCCAAATATAACGCCAAATATCGGAAAGAGAAACTCAATTCGCACCACAGGTTGATGTCTAAGATATTTAGTCGATGGCCAGTGGATGCCATTCCTCCTGAGATGAGAGCACTGATGGAAATGAATAGACAACAGAATGGTATCACAAGTGAAGACAATCTGATTCTTCAGACAAATGTTTTGTCAGAAATCAACGAATTGTGTGAAGAAAGTCAAAAGTATAGAGAATTTTGTCAGTTACTCAATACAGCGCCTACACCTCAAAATGACCATCTCTTCANATTATAATAGTGTGCGGTTCACACCTGGTATATAGCTCTTGACTTTCAATATCATGTGTTAACAGCAATTGTCATACTAGCATATTTGTATAATAAGAAAGTTGGTGTTATATTAAATATTACAATAATCTTGCTATTCTTAATAACATCGTCAATTATGATATATGTGTATGAATTACCCCCGGCAATATTGCCTACAGCTTTCACGTAAGTTTTCAATACGCAAAACTATAAAACAATACTGAAAACTATTTAAATTAACTAATAGCTGTTTAAATTTAATGTTAACTTAAAATACAGGGAACATTACCATGAATACTATAGTAACTTTTTCCACAAACAACCCCCGTCATATGGGGTCATGTATTTTATGGCACTTATGTTTGGATTTGCTATAAATAATAAAACATCTTTCAACATAAGTAAAGTTAGTATTATATAAATGATATTATATACAATTAATTTATTCAAAATTTAAAATTATTTAATGTTAAAAATATTGTCTAGGTAAAGCTGAAAATTATATGGATTGCAATATTGAGTGCTTATTTCATTCCATTGTGGGATAAAGTTTACTGGATTTATGGCCGACCATATGATCCGGCAATTGCTACTATACTTTACACTCTATGTCGAGTCATATGGACGGTCTGTACATCTTTGATGATATGGTTGTGTATATCAGGAAACGGAGGAATTCTGAACAGACTTTTATCGCTCAAAATATTCATACCATTGGCTCGACTCACATATTCTGTATACTTATGCCACGCGTGGCTTATCTGGTACTTCGTTGGGTCGCGCCGTCATCTAATTAACACGACTACCTATGAACTGATAGCAAACTTCATACACATAACAGTCTTGTCATATATAATGGGTTTTGTATTCTTTGTTGTGTTTGAGTCACCGATTCTTGAGTTACAAAAGTGTGGAATCGAGGCTTTGAGACGAAAATATAAGAAAAATGTGAAACCAATTGACCTGAAACTTAATCCTATGCTAAATGATAGAAATTGATATTAATCGACAAATTAACACATTTAATAATATAATACGAAAATTTAATAGATAAATATTTTATATATAAATTTAAAAATGTTGAAACATTTTATTAAAATCTGAATTTGGATTAAAAATTATGCTATAATTTAAATAAATAATTTTATTCTCTTTCTAATGTCCATAAACTTTGGATCTTTAAGTGGAGGAAGTGATCCATTATTGTTATGACTATTATTGTCATTATTGTCATCATTGCTGAAGAGATGGTCATTTTGAGGTGTAGGCGCTGTATTGAGTAACTGACAAAATTCTCTATACTTTTGACTTTCTTCACACAATTCGTTGATTTCTGACAAAACATAACTGATAACAAACTTCATACACATAACAGTCTTGTCATATATAATGGGTTTTGTATTCTTTGTTGTGTTTGAGTCACCGATTCTTGAGTTACAAAAGTGTGGAATCGAGGCTTTGAGACGAAAGTATAAGAAAAATGTGAAACCAATTGATCTGAAACTTAATCCTATGTTAAATAATAGAAATTGATATTAATCGACTAATTAACACGAAAATTTGATAAATAAATATTTTACATATAAATTTTAAAATGTTGAAACATTTTATTAAGTCTGAATTTGGATTAAAAATTATGCTATAATTTAAATAAATAATTTTATTCTCTTTTTAATGTCCATAAACTTTGGATCTTTAAGTGGAGGAAGTGATCCATTATTGTTATGGCTATTGTTGTCATTATTGTCATCATTGCTGAAGAGATGGTCATTTTGAGGTGTAGGCGCTGTATTGAGTAACTGACAAAATTCTCTATACTTTTGACTTTCTTCACACAATTCGTTGATTTCTGACAAAACATTTGTCTGAAGAATCAGATTGTCTTCACTTGTGATACCATTCTGTTGTCTATTCATTTCCATCAGTGCTCTCATCTCAGGAGGAATGGCATCCACTGGCCATCGACTAAATATCTTAGACATCAACCTGTGGTGCGAATTGAGTTTCTCTTTCCGATATTTGGCGTTATATTTGGGTTCATCCGTGAACTCAAAACTCATCTCAATCTCCACATTAAGTAAACTTTGTTTGAGACCAGTCTTAGCATTGAAATCCATTGAATACCAGTCGTGTCCACCAATTAATGGCATTTCGCAGATATTATCAACGCATAGATACGTTGAAGTGATTTTACTCGAGTCATACAAATAGCGAAATATTTGTTTGCATTTCGTCTGATAGCGAGTTAACGACAAACTGATGAACAACTTCTTAAAGTTTTTGTTAATCGCGTGAATCACTTGTCTGTCGATTTGTAACTCATTTTTCGGTTTTAGTGTCCATTCGTTGTATTTTAAGACTGTTTTCTGTCTCCGCTTTCCATCGGTTGATGTCATTATCACTAACTCTATAGTCTTGTCATCATTTCCTTCAACATCGGCCCAAACTCTCTGCAAGTCTTCGGACACAACCCTTAGGCAAGTAATGATGACTTTGAGGTGTGGCCTGTATTTCAACACTCTTTGAGTCTTGTATTTCTCGAACTCATCGGAAGCCAAACGATCGTCACATTGAAGACCACTTTGTTTGAGAAAAATGGCCCCAAATTTGGGACAATTATCGGACAAACAAATAGACAAACGATTGTAAAGAATTTGAAGCAATTCTTTAACGAAGAGCTCGTCCTCTAATGAATGTTCAGTTTTTGAGCGATATTTTCGCAAAGTTTTGGTCAAATCTTTGCTCATTTTGAT